TAAAAAAAAAACGGATTAAAAAAAAAACGGATTAAAAAAAAAAACGGATTAAAAAAAAACGGATTAAAAAAAAAAACGGATTAAAAAAAAAAGTTGGTGTGTTAATCTTGATGATCGACAAAGAAAAAGACTATACAAACTTCCCCTTCATTTGGTGCTCTCACAATCTGGTTCCACTAAGCTCTCTATCCATCCACATCAGTAGAAGAGCGCAATTCATTCATAGAAGATACCATCACCTCCAATCATTCCAACGACTTGGCTAACGACGCATCTTTTTTTTTTTCAACTCAGCGCTAACCAATGTTGAGTTTTCATGGCAAAAAACATGGGTGCGGGCTTTTTTAAATAAAACCCTTTTTTTCAGACAGTCCTTTTACCAGCAAACCTATCACTCGTCACCTCTGACCCCTCTACGCATTTTAGGGTTTGCTTTAACTGAAGGAAGGGAAAAGAAAAAGAAAAAAGAAAAAAAACGTACGGTCAGCAGTTGTGAAGCAGCGAGGTTCAAACTCTTATTACATGCATGCATGCATGCACGCAGCGGGCAAAAGGTGCAAAATTAAGTTCATTCCGTCAGCAACACTGGGTAAACCAGATCCCGATCCAGGCAGAGGGGCTCCTAACAGTCTGGATCTGGATCGTCCCATGCACACACACCTAATAATGTAGTGGATAAGAAAGAAAAAAAAGACCATCCATTGCCCGAATAACAAGTATATGAGTCACCTACGTGTGGAGACCGCGAAGGCACTCGAATCTGGGAGCTCTCGTATCCGTCATACGGCCGAAAGAGTACGTAGAGTTCTCGATCCTTGACGTCCTGTGGCAAGCCGGAGACGAAGAGTGTCCTCACAGCTTCAACTCCATTTCCGTCTCCGTGGTCATCCGTCTCAGTCAAAACTAGCTCGCTCATCTTTTTTTTGGGTACCGCCACCACCTCTTTGCCAATCACCCCCGCCGAGTCTGATGCCTGCCTGCGCTTTCACTTCTCAGCCTCCCCGGCCAACTCGTTACTGTGCGGATCGCCTTCAACCACCATGGTCAGCACATAGCGTCGTTCCTGTGCTATGATACACCAAACAGTTTCCTACAGTAGATTAGAACAACAGATTGCATACGCACATTTTCGTCATTTTTCACGATCTCGAAGGTGGTGACCACAAGAACACAGCACAAAAATTGCACAGGCAGCAGCAGAACGACCAGCAGAACGACAAGTTGTCATCACGTTGTTGGCTTTCACAACTCCGAGTAGAACGAACAGTCATTTTTTCGCTGCACCTACACTAGAAGTTTCCTAGTGTGGCTGATATATTGTCACAAAGTTATCAGAGCGCAAAAGCGAAAAACAAAACAAAAGGATATGTATAAAATATAGGCTACCAGATGTCCAGGTACCCGGATATCAAGGCGGATGCCCGGTCCCGGGATCCGATCCTGGATGTCCGTGTTCTTTTTGTCTGGAAATCCCGGGCAGCTTTATTGTTAGAATTTAATAAAAATAAATAACACATTTTCGCTTCTGTTTGTTACCTTCATTTTTTTACGAACTTGGAATTGCCCCTCAGTCACAAGTTATTTGCTTTGTTTGTCTTTCGGGACACCCATTAAAACTCGAATGATACCGAGAAGACTACCGTTTTCCCCCGAACACAACGCACCCTGCCTGATAAAGAATGTATACAAGCTATGTTTCCGGTCCCGTGCACCCAAAATGAGGGTGCGTTGTGTTCCGGGGGACGACGGTAGCATGCCCCTGGCGCAAGGATGAAACGCATAAACCGAGAAATAATTTTTAAAAAAGAAGTTACGTGCTTTGGAGTCCTCTACAAACACTTTTTTACCATATTCACACCCTCCCATCCCTCAC